ATGAGTAGCTCCCTGGGTGTACACGTTATCCGCAATATACTCACTGAATAAACGTGCCCCGTGCTACACGTCTGTTTCCTTTATAGCTGGGCTATAGCTTAGCTGATTCTGGGAGTCTAGCTAGATGTTGGAGAATCTGCCATAGATATTTCTGAGTCAATCAGGCTTTACTAGCGTAGCAATCCGCCATACATCAAAGAGTGGGAGATGTAATATATTTAATCATTCAATGTCCTATGCACTGAACGCAAATAGATCTATTAATTAAAATATTCTGATGTAAAGAAAAAATGCCTCAATAAACGAATTAAAATATGTTATCACAGATGAGCGCGATTAATTATTGTTGATATCGAAAAACAATTATCCTTAATTAGTTTCGTGGGTTAAAATTACTAAATTCAGTCAAGTAGTAAACAGTGTAGCTTAGTTTCTTCCGTAACATGTGAGATATTTTTTTTGCCAACCTCATTTTTAATTTTCAATTTTCTTTATTAATTTATAAATTAATATATTAAATTTTTCCATTAAAATTGTACAGAAACAAAATGAGTTCCGACGAGATCCGCCGACTTGGTAAATTTGCTTTATATATGCTTATTGATAATTAAATAGTTTCTTCAAATCCCCGTTTTAATTGCAGAAAATCCAACTGACGAGAGTCAAAATACAACTCTTCAAAGTGAGATTTAGAGATTTGTGTGCTTTAGTGTCAAATTGGCGAATTAATAGTTTAATTTAAGTTTGTCGAATCGACCATTAATTTCGAAGATGAAAAGTTGTAATTAAATGTATAGAGATTAAAGTTTTTATAAATTTCGTCCGTTAGTTGTCACGTTATTACGCTGAAAAATCTGTAGGGATTAATTAGAAAACACAAGTAGTCTTATGTAAAAAAACTGATATTTCAGGAGAGGAAATAATATTAACTATTTTTCTAATAGCCCTATTTAAACCCTCTTTTTAGATAATAATATGGGAAATTGCCCCGAAGAAAACCAACAGAATGGTAAATTGAAACAGTTGCATTACAAGGAAAACCTTGTTCAAAACAAATAGTTTTAATGAGTGTCACAAAACATTGTATTTCCTTTTATGTGCGCAACCAGAGTCAGAGCCATTGCAAGGTTGGTTTTGATGTTCATTAACTCGTTATACCTTGCTTGATGTTTTGCCCAAATAGGAGTGTCGGACAGTTGGCGCATAATTTGACTCACATTAGTTAAATATAGTGCATTATTAGGATACTTGACTATGAGACTGCCTTATTTCTCATAACTATTGCATACTCTTGATTTTTGAAAGAATAAGAAATATTTTTTTATACTCCCTTATTCAGTCTAATTTTCAAAATAGTTGCCCCAATTGAAATTATATCTCCAATTTCTTCTGCAATTGTTGGTGGGGGGGGGGGGGGGATTTCGTGTCTGTTATATAAATAAATAATATTTCTATTTTGCTTCACTATCATATATATCAATCAGTCATGAAAAATTCAGTCTAGCAAGTTCTGAGGCCATATGAAATACTTTCAGACTGAGCATCAGCTCAAAACGGAGTTGATAATAAATGCGTAAATATCCGTTAATTTAGTATCTTATATGAAAATTCTAAATCACTATAGGTATCGTAGTGACGATTTTTAAAATACCAATCGTATTTCACTTAAATGTATAAAGTGTAAAATTCAATTTTCACACACGGATTGAAATTATTTCTTTACAGTAATGTGTTTCTTGTTCGATTAAGATACAGTAAACTAGATATTTAACTGAAATGATATAACTTAATTTACGATTATTGAATTTAGATAACTTAATGCGATTGCCTTAGGTTTGATTGAAATGCATAAATTTTTATTTATCAAGGCAACAGTTCAGAGAGCATTTATGAAGATAGTATTCCTTGTGGTAAATAAATGCATAATACAGATTAGAGTACTAAACATGGAATTTTCCGTACTTTCACTATTTAATAATTTGATTTTAAGATAATTTTCACGAAGGAAGGCAATTTGGTGGTGCGTAATGTTAATGAAAAAATTTAAATAGAGTCTATTGTTACTGGTTTGAGACTTAATTGAAATTAGGTAGTACTTATAACGCGTTCCCTCTCTAGTCTCATTAAAACATTCCAGTATAGCTTATAAATCTAGGAAAACAATAAATTTACACTTTAGAAGTCAAACCGGTAGATTCTCACGCATCAGGTAAGACATTGAAACCAATGCAAAATAAATCCCACATTTATTTTATCTTAAAAGTCATAAAATAACAGTTCTTCTTGTTACAATCAATGCTATCTTTCTAGATAGCTTAGTCAAGTTAAGTTTGGATGTGAACGTACCTTCAGGTACATTGAGTAGTTGGTTAGATTTTACTAAAAGCGCCACTATTGATTTGGGAGAGTAAAAGATTTTACTTAAATTTTAGAGAACTTGACTTCTGAACAACAGGCTTGTGAAATGATATCAGGTATATCTTGATACGACATGATGTTTTACTGAAAAAATTCATTTATTACAAATAATAATCTAGAGGCGACAGAAAACCAGGAGATCAGCAGTTGTTTGACCTTATTAATGGCCATGGCTTTGGGAGGTTTTATTACTACTCATAAGAACAGAAACAAATAATCAATAATTCAATATTTGGGATCTGAAAAGTGTTCACAGAATTATAATTTTAAGGCCCCATTGATATCGAACTCTAAAAGAGTTTCTGGTTGGGTTAATTGGCATTTTCGTTGCAAGACTTCGTCCATTCTCGGTTTTATTAATAGCAGAATAAGGCCTTCAAATGCTAAATTTAAAAACCATCTTTCATGAATTTATTAAAAGAGGGCTAAATTGCGCCGTAGCCAAAAAAGTGAATTTTAGAGAGAATACACTTTTTAACAAATGCATGTCAATTTTTATCTGCTTTTTTAATTTAGCGAACAGTGTTGAAAAACTGAATGAACTCAGAAAGAACATGAACGGTAACATTATCATTATTCTAAAATTATAAAAATAATTTAGATACCATGAAGCACATAAGAGAAAATGAAGGGATCCTCATTCGTAATGTCCATTTGTTCATTAAATTAGCTTTCTTTTAGACGCATTCCAAGAATATAATGAAGTAATCAAAAGTGCAATAGGAAAAGATTGTAAGTAAATACGCAGAATGAGTGTTAAAGAAAATTTAAACTTACGAATCATTTCATTTTAGGCCAATGTATAGCACAATGTCAAAAAGTTAATGAATTCTACAACGAGGGTGAGCTTGACATAAAATTAGTAAAATCCATAGTAGATGGTCAGCCCAAATTTGATGCAGAACAAGAAGAAAAACCAGAAGGCATTCAAGAAAATGAACGTAAGTTGTCAAACACGATTAAAAAGAGCACTTTTACTGGACATAATGAGGAGAGAAAAGAATGTTTGCCTTAATTTTGAATACACAAATCCAGTCTCGGAAATGGTTGCACACTGATAAGATCATCAATCTTACACCATTTAGAAGTAGTTGAACAAGTGGGGAATGAAGAAACTATTCCAACTGGTAACAACCTTATTCATAACCTCCATAAGATTCATTAGAACAACCTCAAGAATGCACTGGAGAAGTTGAGCATACGGAAGTCAACGAGAGTATGTTGGCATGTTCAATACCTACAATGAGTGAATGCTGTCGATTTCCATATTGATTCCCTTTTCATATAGTGACATGTTCGCCTAAAGCCTCCTCCGTGCATGAAAGTTGTGCTGATGCTCAAGGTAACATTGCTTAATGTGAATATTACATTTGAATGAAGTGAACATTTTGTAGTTAAAATGATAAATGAATGACAAGATTAATGGCTTATTGGTGTTTTGCTAAATACATGACACACAGTGTGAAATATTAGTTCACGTACACTGCAATTACTTTTATTGCTGGACATTTGTTTATATCAACTGACATGTGTGAGGATGGTTATAATTAGTCCTTTAAATGACTTCGGACAACATAGAGGGAAGGGCCACCAAAGTCCCAAAACAGTCGAAAGGGCTAGCAAAAGAGTGATTCACAGGTGTAAAAGAGACAGACAAAGGAGTAGAGGATACAGGTAAGGTGAGGAGAGGTCTGTGGAAGGAGCGGAATAAGGTATAAAGTCGGGTCATGAAAGTTTGAAGTGCGAAGTCAAATGTTGGAATTTAGACTTTTATTGCCATATGATTATGTTGCTCAGAGTGCACTACATGTTGGTAAGTCATCCTCTGGACGTAATGTGGAAAGAATTGGAAGTTTTGCTTGATTTCGAATGAATAATTGAACTTGCGGAAACGTAACTTCGTTGCGCTTTGATAAGATGATTACTCTGGCACCATTTTAGATGCAGTTGAACATGTGGAGAATGAAGAACCTCTTCCAACTGGTAACTCCCTTATTCATAACCTCCATAAGATTCATTAGAACAACCTCAAGAATGCACTGGAGAAGTCGAGCATACGGAAGTTAACGAGAGTAAGTTGGCACGTTCAATGCCTACAATGAGTGAATGTTGTCCGAATTCAATATTAATTCTCCTTTTCATTTAGTGTCATGTTCGCCTAAGGCCTCCTCCGTGCATGAAATTTGTGCCTATGCTCAGGGTAACATTGTTATATATCAACTTTGTAGTTGAATAAAGTGAAACTCTGGTTATTAAAAAGACTCTTAATTTCCAACTTGAATTTTTGTATTGATTTTAATTATATGTCAAAAACGTGAAGTGTTAGTTTTTGCACACTGCAATTGTGCATTTCTGCTGGTTATAATGAGTAGAGGATTGTATTTTTCTCTTAAATTTGAATAAATAAATCAACTCGCGGAAATGTGATTTTGTTGCACAATGATAAGACAACCAAACTTGCATCATTTTAGATGCAGTCGAACATGTGGAGAATGAAGAAAATA